TTTCTCAGGTGGCGTACCGATCTGTTGTGGGTGTAGTTGGAATACAACAGTGCCCTTCTACGTCAAGAATCTCGTCAAAACCTACTAATAAGTGGTACTTCTTTTGATGTCGAAATTCATCTGCCTAGGAGGCGATGAATGGACAGTATGCATACAAATATTCCACATATGTGAAACGGAAATGCACGTAAAGGTCACTTTCGCAATCGTGACTACAGTCCACAAGTTGAAGAACTTGTAAAACTTGTGGCCGGAGATTACAGCTTTTTGTAGCAAAGATACAGAAAATAATTATGTATTAGCTGAGACCTCAGTACATAGATTTGTTTATCATTATTTATGTTCCTTCAAGAAAACGAGAAACAACTCACATGTGTAGACGTATATACACTAGAATAAATAAGAATTTGTTGATACTTTTTTTTTATTCATTTATGGAAACGAGAAATGATTCACATGCGTAGACCTAGACATACTAGGATAAACATGGAATTATTAATACTTATGTATGTTCATGCATGGAAACAAGAACTAGCTCACATGCGTAGAAACAAGTTTAGCGTACTCTGCTGCTCATTTGTGGAACCAACTTCCAATAGACCTGAAAGATTCTGAAAGTCCCTATTCATTTAACCGTAAACTTTTTCAATTCATTCTTACAAGCGATTATATGCCACCTTGAATGTAATGTAAACCATATTGCATTATCAATTTATTATTAAACAAGGTGTGTATGATATGTATGTTTGCGCCCGCGTGTGTGCGTGATATGTATGTATGTGCAGGCGTGTTTGTATACATATGACTCTAAGTATGTTGTTTGTCTGCGTGTGTGTCTGCGAATGAATGCGTCTGTGTCCTTGTGTATGTGTGCGAATGTGTGTGTGTGTTCGCGCGTATGTCCACGTGTATGTTTCAGTGTGAATTGGTCTGTGTGTGTTTCTGTGTGTTTAAGTGTACCTCTTAGCTGTGTATGTGTGTCTGCGTGTGTGTGTGTGTGCGATTGGATACATGTAGCTGTGTATATGTGTCTGTGTGTGTCTCTCTGTGTTTGTTTGCATGTGTATGTGTCTCGGTGTTTTTTTTTTTTTTTTTTGCATATTTGATGTGACTGTGTGTATATCTTCGTTTGTGTCTGTGTGTGTCCCCGTATGTGTGTGTCTTCATGTTTGCCTGTGTATGTTTATGTGTTTTGTCTGCGGGTGTGTCTATGAGGCTGTATGTATGTATCTCTGTGTGTGGGTTTCTGTATGTCTGTCTGCGCGAGTGTATGTATCAGCATGTGTCTGTCTGTCTGTGCATGTCTATGTGTGTTTCTCTGTGTGTATTGTGTGTGCCCCTTTGTTGTCTGTATGTGTCTGCATGTCAGAGTATATGTCTGTGCGTGCTGAATATATATGTCTGCGTGTGTATTTCTATGTTTTTGCATGTGTATGTACTTCGGCGTGTTTGTCTCTGTGGGTGTCAGTATGGGTTTGTCTGCCTGTTTGTCTGTGTGTGTGTGTGTTTGACTGCGTGTGTGTCTATGTGGCTGTATGTATGTGTCTGCATGTTTGTCTGCGTATGTGTGTGTGTGTGGTGTGTGTGTCAGTGTGTGAGCACGAATGTAAATATGTGTGCTGTGTGTTTCCCTGTGTGTGTTTATATGTAAGTGTCGGTGTGTGTGTCTGTATTTTTGTCTGAGTGTGTGTGTCTCTGTGGGAGTGTCCGTGAGTGCATGTGTGTGTCTCCATGCATGACTGTATTTATGACTGTATGTTTGTATGTCTGTATGCCTGTATTATGTATGTATGAATGTTTGTATGTGTGTATGCCTGTATGTTTGTATCTTTGTATGTATGTTTGTGTGTATGTATGCCTGTGTGTATGTGTGTATGCATGTTTGTTTGTATGTATGTGTGTATGTATGTATGCCTGTATGTGTGTATGTATGCAATGAATGCATGTATGTGTGTGTAAGTGAGTGGGTGAGCGTGTGTATGTGGGTGTATGTATGCAAGCACGGGTTTTTGCATGCACTTTACAACTCATACTTTTGTGTTCTTTTATAATATTCATAATATGCATATCATCATATGATCATAACATGCTTTATTAGTAAAATACAATTGCTGTGTGAAAAATGGTTGACTGGAAGGGCCGAATGTAAGACGGGCCTGTGTGCCCAATTTGTGACCCTTTGAAAATAAAGACGTAGACATACTGGGATAAACAATGATTTGTTCAAACGTGTGTATGTTCATGCATGGAAACGAGAAATAATTCACATGCGTAGACGTAGAAACACTAGGATAAACACAGATGTAAAATCAAAAAAATATTGAGCACAATTATATAGCCGCATGAATTAACATGAGTAAACAATAACAGTACTAGTGGCGCTGAGAAAGAGAACGTATTTTGACAGGGTTTACACTCGTATAATTTTTCTTGGGCTTGGTAAGGGGCTCACGAATTATAACTTTTGTTGAACTCACACAACAATAATTGGAATGCCAATGTAACTGTTGAAAGCATATGGCTCCATGAGGATTTGAACCCACAGCCTTCCAGCCAATAGGTACAAGCCAAAAATGACCTACCAACTAACCATAAACATTACACTCAACTAACAAAAAAAAAAAAAAAATGTACTTAAGCACACATATAAACAGATTCAAGATCGGTCAACTTTTCAGTATTGTTTGGACAAAAAAATTATGGTATACTTACTCGTTGTCGGTGCTTTAGTTGCTGAAAAAAAAAAAAAAAACAATAACAGGTTATTGTAGCTAGAGTGCATAACCTATCGTTGACTTATTACAGCAAGTTGATCCACAACCCTCCCCCTCCCACCCCTGCCACACCATTTATGTGTTTTTTTTTTTTTTTTTCGTATAAAGATCTTTTCTGAAAGACCTCAGAGAAAATTAATTTGCTTTTTGGAGCATTGTCGCAAGTTGATCAAACTGTCGATGTTGTACAGTTGTAAACTATACAGGGTTTACTAACTCGTCGTTGGTTCTGGAGTTGCTAAAATACGAACAATGTCAAAGACATGTATCCATTGGTTAGAAATTTTCTGAGCTTTCTTAAAATCAGTTAGCTTTTTTCATAATCTGAAAATCTTTCTCCAGTTTCAAGTTAGGAAATAAAAACCACATCAGTCGCAGTGAGGATTGTCACTTTTTGCTTAAAATAAAGTTTTTTTTTTTTTTTTTTAAATTATTAACATTTTTACTATTAGTTGAACCGTGTAAAGTTAATATTCACTTTTTCAAAGACATGCTTTTCAGCATAAAGTAACTGAAAATTGACACGCAGTAACTTTATAAATGTATGTTGTCTGACTATTATATTCCTCAGGTGGCGTCCGATTCTGTCGTGGGTGTAAGTGGAATACAACAGTGCCGTTCAACGACAAGAATCTCGTTACAATCGACTAACTAGTAGTACTTCTTTTGAAGTTTGAATTCATCTGCCTGAGAGGCGAGGAATCGACAGTATGCATACAAATATTCCACATCTGTGTAAGGGATATGCACTTAAAAGTCAAATTCGCAAACGTGTCTGCAGTGCATAAGTTGACTAACTTCCAGAACTTTCGGCCAGAGTTTACAGCTGTTAGAGCAAAGATGAAGAAGATAATTCTGTATTAACTGAGTCCTGAGTACACAGATTTGTTGATGATTGTTTAATTTCATGCATGGAAACAAAAAACAACTCACATGCGTAAAAGTGGACATACCGGGATAATCAAGGATTGGTTGATATTATTTATGTTCCCTTTTTGAAACAAGAAATAATTCACATGCGTAGAGGTAGACAACCTAGGATAAACAAGGATTTGTTGATATCATTTATGTTCCTTCATGGAAACGAGAAATAATCCACACGTGTAGACGTAGTCATACTAGGATAAAAAAGGATTTGTTGATATTTTTTATGTTGCTTCATGGAAACGAGAAATAATCCACATGCGTAGACGTAGACATACTGGGATAAACAAGGATTTGTTGATACTAATGTATGTTCATGCATCGAAACGAGAAATATCTAACATGCGTAGACGTAGACATACTTTGATAAACAAGGATTTGTTGATACTAATGTATGTTCATGCATAGAAACGAGAAATAACTCACATGCGTAGACGTAGACATACTGGGATAAACAAGGATTTGTTGATACTTATGTATGTTCATGCATCGAAACGAGAAATATCTAACAGGCGTAGACGTAGACATACTAGGATAAACAAGGATTTGTTGATACATATGTATGTTCATGCATAGAAACGAGAAATAAATCACATGCGTAGACGTAGACATACTGGGATAAACAAGGATTTGTTGATACTTATGTATGTTCATGCATCGAAACGAGAAATATCTAACAGGCGTAGACGTGGACATACTGGAATAAACAAGGATTTGTTGATACTTATGTATGTTCATGCATCGAAACGAGAAATATCTAACAGGCGTAGACGTAGACATACTAGGATAAACAAGGATTTGTTGATACATATGTATGTTGATGCATAGAAAGGAGAAACAACTCACATGCGTAGACGTAGACATACATGAATGAACACAAATAAAAAATAAATAAATACAACGCACTATTATATAGCCGAGAAGGATGCATAAATTAACATGAGTGAACTATAACAGTTCTAGTGGCGCTGACAGAGAGAACGAATTTTGACAGGGTTTACACCTGTATAATTTTTCTCGGGGGAGGTATGGGGCTCAAGAATCTGAACTTTTGTTGAATGCACACAATAATAATAGGGGAGCCAAAGTCATTGTTGAAAACAACTGGCTGCATGACGATTTGAACGCACAGTCTTCCGGCCAAAGGGGTTAAAAAAAAATGGCCTACTAATTGACAACAAACAGTACACTCAACTAATCAGTCAATATAACACACAAATTAATACACAGGCAGACACACAATCAGATTCAAGACCAGTCCACTTCATATCGTTATGTAAATAAAATATACAGTATACTCACTCGTTGTTGGTTCTGGAATTGCTGAAATAAAATAGAGACAGGTTATTGTAGCTACAGTGCAGAAGGTTATTGTAGCTACAGTGCAGAAGGTTAATGTTCCTACAGTGCAGAAGGTTATTGTAGCTACAGTGCAGAAGGTTAATGTTCCTACAGTGCAGAAGGTTATTGTAGCTACAGTGCAGCAGGTTATTGTAGCTACAGTGCAGAAGGTTATGGTAGCTACAGTGCAGAAGGTTATTGTAGCTACAGTGCAGAAGGTTATTGTAGCTACAGTGCAGAAGGTTATTGTAGCTACAGTGCAGAAGGTTATTGTAGCTACAGTGCAGAAAGTTATTGTAGCTACAGTGCAGAAGGTTATTGTAGCTACAGTGCAGAAGGTTATTGTAGCTACAGTGCAGAAAGTTATTGTAGCTACAGTGCAGAAGGGTAATGTAGCTACAGTGCAGAAAGTTATTGTAGCTACAGTGCAGAAAGTTATTGTAGCTACAGTGCAGAAAATTATTGTAGCTACAGTGCAGAAGGTTATTGTAGCTACAGTGCAGAAAGTTATTGTAGCTACAGTGCAAAAGGTTAATGTTGCTACAGTGCAGAAGGTTACCGTAGCTACAGTGCAGAAGGGTAATATTGCTACAGTGCAGAAAGTTATTGTAGCTACAGTGCAGAAAGTTATTGTAGCTACAGTGCAGAAGGTTATTGTAGCTACAGTGCAGAAGGTTATTGTAGCTACAGTGCAGCAGGGTAATGTTTCTACAGTGCAGAAAGTTATTGTAGGTACAGTGCATAAGTTTATTGTAGCTACAGTGGAGAAGGTTATTGTAGCTACAGTGCAATAGGTTATTGTTACTTCATTGCAGAAGGTTACCGTAGCTACAATATAGAATTTTATTGTAACTACTATGCAGAAAGTTATTGTAGCTACAGCGCAGAAGGGTATTGTAGCTAAAGTGCTGAAAGTTATTGTTGCTTCAGTGCAGAAGGTTACCGTAGCTACAGGGCAGAATGTTAATATTGCTACAGTGCAGAAAGTAATTGTAGCTGTTCAGTTGGGACATCAGGGGGTGGTTCAGTTGGGACATCAGGAGGTGGTTCAGTGGGACATCAGGAGGTGGTTCAGTTGGGGCATCAGGAGGTGGTTCAGTTTTGACATCAGGAGGTGGTTCAGTTGTGACATCAGGGGGTGGTTCAGTTGGGGCATCAGGAGGTGGTTCAGTTGTGACATCAGGGGGTTGTTCAGTCTTGCATCAGGTGGTTCAGTTGTGACATCAGGAGGTGGTTCAGTTGTGACATCAGGAGGTGGTTCAGTTGGGGCATCAGGAGGTGGTTCAGTTGGGGCATCAGGTGGTGGTTCAATTGGGGCATCAGGAGGTGGTTCAGTTGGGGCATCAGGTGGTGGTTCAGTTGGGGCATCAGGTGGTGGTTCAGTTGGGGCATCAGGAGGTGGTTCAGTTGGGGCATCAGGTGGTGGTTCAATTGGGGCATCAGGAGGTGGTTCAGTTGGGGCATCAGGTGGTGGTTCAGTTGGGGCATCAGGTGGTGGTTCAGTTGGGGCATCAGGTCGTGGTTCAGTTGTGACATCAGGTGGTGGTTCAGTTGTAGCATCATGTGATGGTTCAGTTGGGGCATCAGGAAGTGGTTCAGTTGAAATGCAAACAACTAAATCATTAAAAGCATTGCTTCAAGATGTACAAATGGCATAAGTGTGTCGCACACTTGCCAAAAATGGGAACTCAAGTCCTTTAGCCACCTCTTCCCTCCCCCCTCCTCCTTGTCCCCCGCCCTATAGTTAGCTCTATCATGAATGTCTTGAAGTGTGGATATATGATTCCTTCACTGCTTGTCGCAATCACCAGGCGTAGATAGATCATTTCGGTTTGAGGAAAATGGCGCTGCGGCGAGTTATCAGGGAATTTGGCTGACTCTCAACACTCAGGGAAAAGGCGAGACGGATATTTAATCAGACAGTTACTGATGCCATCAGAATTGGAACTCATCGCGTGCTGCTGAAGATTGGAACGGGCGCTTATGGGAGTGTCCCGAGTGCTATGATGTGGATTTCTATTTCAACATTCAACGATCAACATTTATAATCAATAGTCAATGATTAGCTATCCGGAGTGATCACAATTGTTGTCTGACAGCCAGACAAATCCTCAGGAAGCATTAACACAGTAAATCCATATCTGATGTAAAACTTAAGTATAACACACACACACACACACACACACACACACACACACACACACATTCACCATGTTAGAGAGAGAAGGGACCCCTGATATCGTGGCTTTATTTAATTTACAGTGTATAAAATGCGTTGTCGTACATGCCGAATTGTTTGATTACGTGCGACAGAAAATGCCCCAGTTTTAACGCCATTAGCGAAAAGACTCTTTTCCACGTGCTTCTTTTTTTTTCTAAAGAGCCATGTTAGCATCAGGAGCATATAGCTGAAGATACATACAGATCTTGCTGACGATCCATTGCAGTCAACTTTCAATGTGAAGACGGCGCCTAAAAGATTAACAGAGTGCACTTTATTTATGACAGGCGACCACAAATAACCGAAACAAAAGAAGCAATCAATGTAATATGACATGCACTCATCGATAGCGATATTTTACCACACCCATACCCTGGAGTTATTTCTATGCTGAATGCTGAAAGACAATTACAATTTAAGATACAAATAATAAAACAAACTTGTCAACATTACAAGATGAGCTTAGTTACCTCGACAGACGCGAACTTTGAGTTTGTTTAGAATTTTGTTCAAGGCGTCAGCCTCTTTGATGTTAATGACATTTCCCTTCGAGCCAGCGAAGGTTTCGGCCAGCGTATCGTTGACAACGCCAATTGTCCCCGCTAATATAGTTGCGTTAAAAGTTTCCTTAATTTCCTTGGTCTTTTCAACAGCTGCAGACAAATGAAGATACATTAGAGTGCTACTATGTGTGTAGTCACTGACAGGATGAGTTACACACAGTCGTTTAATTATTAGCAAACCACTAGTCGCCTTTCCTTTGCGCTCTTAGTGTGGGATTTAAATCTGCATGGTGGCATATTTTTACAATTTACCTGAAATACCAATTTTTCAAAACCTATGAAAGCTACCTGGAAGTGTCCTCGCAAGTAAAGGCGGTTGGCGTGTTGCTGATCATGTGTGCTGTCTGATGTGTCAAAACGTGTCTACCAACGTATGCCTGATACGCCCATGTAACTTCCCCCGGTTGAAACCCCGGCGCCCACGTTAATTCTTTCTCCCAACTGGGCATAGTCCACGTTAACTCATGCTTTAAACTGGAAATATTCCACGTTAATTCTGTATTTAAACTGGGAATAGTTTAAAAAAAAAAAAGGACCCTTCTTCACGCCTTAAAGCTTATAGGGCATATAGGACTAGACCAATATTGTATATACCAACGGCACAAGATGGGTGATGTGGTCAGCATCACGCCGGCCGCCTTTACTTCCCGGGACTGCACCCGGTACCCACTCAAGGCTAGGTCGACCTGAGAGCCAAGGTCTTTTTTATAGAAAAGTCCGGCTCTGCCAGGGACCGAACCCACGACCTTCCAATCCGCGACTCGCGTCTAGCCACTCTGCCACGGCGACTCCCAAACTGGGAATATTCCGCCTAAATTATGGTTTTGAACTAGGAATATTATACGTCTAAGCTTGGAATATACTACGGTAAGTCTGGCTTTTAACTGGGAATATACCACGTCAATTCTGGCTTCAAAGTGACAATATACCACAATAATTCTGACTCTAAACTGGGAATATACTACGGTAAGTCTGGCTTTTAACTGGGAATATACTACGGTAAGTCTGGCTTTTAACTGGGAATATACCACGTCAATTCTGGCTTTAAACTGACAATATACCACGCTAATTCTGGTTATAAACATGGAATATACCACGTTAATTTTAGCCTCAACTGGGAAAAGGGTATGTTATTTCTGGCTTTACACTGGTATTCCACGGTAATTCTGGCTTTAAGATGGAAAAATGCCATGTTTTTTTGTCTGGCTCTAAGCGGAATATAAAATGTTTTTTGTTTGTTTTAACTTTGCATATTCCAGTTTGATTCTGCTTTAAGCTCGGAATATTTTATTTTTTTACTAGGTTCGGATTGGGGATAGTCCATGGTAATTCTGGCTTTTTTCTGGACATATTACACATTTATTCTGGCCTTAAACTCTACATTTTCCACTGTAATTCTGGCTTTAAACTGAAAATCTTTTGCTTCCTAAAGTCTTTGGCGTGTTGCAATGATTGTCATGTCCATCCACAACCTTTTGTTTCCTGAATTTTCCATCAACTCTGACACAGATGATCCTCCATGAAACGTGGCGCTAAACTGTCCAGCATGTCTTCTCTCTGACTGCCTCTGATTCTCATCTCCCTCAACGTTCCTGTTATCACGATGTGCTCCAGTTTGCCCCTTCTCGTGACATGAGCAACGAATGAAGTTTGACTTTTTTTTTATGTGGGCAATCAGTTCTCTTTGTGAGTCAATTTCTGTAAAGACATCTGCATTGGTTTTTTTTTTTTAATCTGCCGGGTATTTTCATCATTCGTCTGTACAACCATATCATTGCAGCTTCCAGATTATTTTTCATTAATTTACAAAATGTCCGTGATATACTTCCGCACATCAGGATGTTATTTTTACAGTTTTTAAGAATACTCTTTCTCATCTCAACTAATAAGGATTCGACAGATACTTTCTTTATTCTTGACATTTATTGTACCACTTCTGCAGTGTAGGGGGGGGGGGGGGGGGTGGGGGGGAGGGGGTCGTTCAGTCCTGGGTTTTATTGCCGCTTTGCTAGTGCTGTCGCCCTGACTGTACAGGTGGGGATTTTTTGTTTCTTTCACTGAAAAAATACTCATGACAAGAAAGAATTGCATCAAATATTCATAAAATATATATATGTATAAAATAGTGCCTTCGCGCGAGCTAGTCTACATATAACCTCTTTAGTACATAATGCTTTTGATGTTATCAGGGTAACCAAGTACTTATTACCCGTAATAACTTGCTGTAGGTTCCATACTATAGATGAATCTAATTATTATTTTAAACATTTATACCACGTTCATTCTGACGTTAAACTACACACATTCCATTTCCATGCTAATTCTAGCTTCTAATTTTGCATATCATACGTTGATTCTGGCGTCCAACTACACTCATTCCATGTTAATTCTGGCGTCCAACTTCACTCATTCCATGTTAATTCTGGCGTCCAACTTCACTCATTTCATGTTAATTCTGGCGTCCAACTACACTCATTCCATGTTAATTCTGGCTTCAAACTACACCCATTCCATGTTAATTCTGGCGTCAAACTACACTCATTCCATGTTAATTCTGGCGTCAAACTACACTCATTCAATGTTAATTCTGGCGTCAAACTTCACTCATTCCATGTTAATTCTGGCGTCAAACTACACTCATTCCATGTTAATTCTGGCGTCAAACTACACTCATTCCATGTTAATTCTGGCGTCAAACTACACTCAATCCATATTAATTCTGGCGTTAAACTACACTCATTCCATATTAATTCTGGCGTCAAACTACACTCATTCCATGTTAATTCTGGCGTCAAACTACACTCAATCCATATTAATTCTGGCGTTAAACTACACTCATTCCATATTAATTCTGGCGTCCAACTACACACATTCTATGTTAATTCTGGTGTTAAACTACACATATTCCATGGTGATTCTGGCCTTAACCTACACACTGCATGTTAATTCTGGCGTTAAACTACACGCGTTCCATGTTAATTCTGGCGTAATACTACACACATTCCATGTTAATTCTGGCGTTAAACTAGACACATTCCATGTTAGTTCTTGCGTTAAGCTACACATATTCCATGTTAATTCTGGCGTTAAACTACACATATTCCATTTAAATGTGGCTTTTAAATGCACACATTCTATGTTAATTGTGGTTTTTAACTGTGCATATTCCACGTCAGACTGGCGACAAACTGAACATATCTGATGATAATTCTGGCGTCAAAATGCATACATTCCATGTTAGTTCTGGAATTGGACATTTTGAAATCTAACTCTGGCGTTAAACTCGATACATTCCACGTTATCACACTGTTGTCTGTATGGTGTCCACTCGAGTAAGTTACCGCATTCGGATTTGTTAACGTCGGGGGCAAGCAGACACAGATCGACAATAAGGAGACTGCCGTGTCTAGGACAAGAGGGTGGCAGAACGGGAAGCAAAAACATATGTCTTACCTAGATCTGGATCAGTTACCGCGCAATCTGATATGTAAATCACAGACAATGGGACATTTGGTCTCCGTCCATGTCCTGTAAAGTGACCGCCTTTAATAGCCAGTTCTAATGCTTGGCCCAAATATGAGAGGCTTCTATCACGAGGTGTGTTCTTTATTTTCTGTGGAAATCAAATGAGTTTTTGATTTAATAACACCTCAGTTGGTGTTGAGGTAACTCACATTGCACGATGGCTTGCTATTAACGCTAACTCACATTGCACGATGGCTTGCTATTAACTCTAACTCACATTGCACGATGGCTTGCTATTAACTCTAACTCACATTGTACGATGGCTTGCTATTAACTCTAACTCACATTGCACGATGGCTTGCTATTAACTCTAACTCACATTGTACGATGGCTTGCTATTAACTCTAACTCACATTGCACGATGACTTGCTATTAACTCTAACTCACATTGTACGATGGCTTGCTATTAACTCTAACTCACATTGCACAATGGCTTGCTATTAACTCTAACTCACATTGTACGATGGCTTGCTATTAACTCTAACTCACATTGCACGATGACTTGCTATTAACTCTAACTCACATTGTACGATGGCTTGCTATTAACTCTAACTCACATTGCACAATGGCTTGCTATTAACTCTAACTCACATTGTACGATGGCTTGCTATTAACTCTAACTCACATTGCACGATGGCTTGCTATTAACTCTAACTCACATTGCACAATGGCTTGCTATTAACTCTAACTCACATTGCACGATGGCTTGCTATTAACTCTAACTCACATTGCACGATGGCTTGCTATTAACTCTACTATGAGAATGGAGCCTAACTTGGAGTGTATAAACGATCTACAGAGGCAAAGGTGTATGCTTTCATGACAGATAATAAAACTACCTACGTGAGTGATACAATAACTGCTCTGCTCTTATATACAAATGACGTAGTAATATCAATGGTAAATTGACGTATGCATTCGCTGTGTGAATTGCAAGCAAATGTGCGCTTTTTCTACACACATGATAGATAGCGTATCTGTCTGAATATTGGATTGATGTATATCTGCTCTAAAAGAATGACAGGTTAAGTATATACTATCTAAATGCATAATAAATTTGAATTATCTCTGTTTGAATAGTCAGTCAGTCAGTCAGTCAGTCAGTCAGTCAGTCAGTCAGTCAGTCAGTCAGTCAGTCAGAAGTATGTCCTATGCAGAACCTTGCTCCCATAACAACATTCTGGAAAACTTCTTGATCACAAGCAAGATGTCCCGCGTCCGATACACCCTTCTGGAGATCATCCGCCATATCCTGCACCCATCTCCACTTTGGCCTTCCTCTTCCTTTCTTTCCAGACACATACTCAACCATTATTGTTCTCTCTAAACTTGTGTGACGTTTCAAGTGGCCAAACTATTTTAATTTTGTTTCAGTTGTGTTATCTCAAAGAGCCAACCAGTTGTAAATGGTAAATTAACGTATATATATATATATATATTGCATGTTTGAATTGTAAGCTAGCGAATCTACTATATAGATAAATGATAGACTAACATATATTTATACTTTCCAAGACAATTGTAATTTAAAGAATAGTTTCTTTATTAGTGGTCCAGAGTATAACAGAAACTTCACCATTGTTCATAATCATCCTCATCACTTTGTTGCGCCATTATACGTCACACATAGAGCCTTACACATGCCCGTACCATTGCAATTTGGGATAGCAATGAAGTGTACGATTTCTCCGTTACTGTTTATTGCGGCCATGTAGGTCATGCTTGACAGGGCTGCCAGGCACGTTCAGGGCTTTCAGACTGGGGGATCACTGGATGCCACCACTGAGAGCAATTATGGACGATGTGGTTATAAAAGGAGTCCGTTAAAATGACGCCTGCGACTCAACGTTTTCTGATAAGAAGGAGGTCAAGCAGCTATATCAGTCCGAAGCTTAATATCGAGAAATGCAGGCTGATCGGGAAGTTCGAGGTTTCGTGTCTCCAATTTATGTTGATTGAAAGACTCCTCTGGCCTCTGCTAGTGCAAAAAGGTTAGCACCAGCCCAGTAAAAGCAATGGAGCGGAAAATCAACACAATCATGAGGAAATTGCTCGGTGCGCCGCCGGTCTGACCGACTTGGCCATGTATTGTAACCTGGCAAAACTGGAACCTCTTTTCAAGTAGATATCAGTTGAAATTCAGCAAGGCCAGATTTGCGATTGTGTTGCGCCAGTATACAAACCAGTAGCCGACGGGGCGGAAATGAAAGGTGAACGATGAGTTTGAATCTGCTTAGAATGCATTTACATTGAAGGAGAGTAAGGGCTATACAGAAAGCCGCCGACGCGGCTTAGGACAGGGAAAAGTCACGTTGGAGTCAAAGGTCTCAGCCACACAAAGAAAAAACCAAAGAGATGTAGCAAAACAACAGATCAGTGATAATGAACACGAGTTCTAGGGTTGAAGAGCAAACCTAGCAGTCGTAGCAAGGACAGTGCTCAGCCTCGAGAGTGCCTTGCCACGAGAACTCACACGTGGTGAGATTTGGAGAAGGCGCCACTGCGACTCGGCTTTGTCATTAGATCTGCGTACGATAAGTTACGCTCCGGCGGTAAGCAGACACTCGAGCAGGTATAGTCCGCGTGCAGAAAAGCCCTAGGTCAGGGACGATACACATGGGGCCACAACAAGGTCCTGGAAGAGGTCGCCGACATTGTGGACAAATTTATGATGAGGGACAACGCGAGAGCCAGTCCTTACATCCTCCGCATGCGCTTCCTCAAGGCTGGGCAGATTTCTAAAGGCACACTCAACAAAGTGGCGTACGCTCATCCTCTGCGAGTGACAACTGGCGATCGACCTTCCTGTTTTGACAAATACCCCGTCACATCTGTGATGTTGCCTCCGTGTGTTGCCTGAAAATTTCCCCAAAAGTCGCGTTTAAAGCTAAGTTACGTATTTTGTTTTATTTTGCAGTTTTTTTTTTTTTTTTTTTTTTTTTTTTTTTTTTTAAATTCCAGTTTCAATTTGCCAGAGAGTCCATAAAACAAGTATAAAAAAAGTTAACTGCACTCGAAGAAACAAACCATCTAAATCGCATGTCGGTAAATTAGGAAATTTCAAGAAAGATCAGGAAATAATAGATATGTTATATGTTTATATATCTATATATGTGTACGTGTGTGTATAAATAATTCATGTGTGTGTGTTTGTGTGTGTGTGTGTGTGTGTGTGTGTGTGTGTGTGTGTGTGTGTGTGATATTTTAAGTAAAGGATATGAGTGAGCTAAAAAGGGAAGGCCATTTACTAAACTCAGCTTTATTGACCGAAAGGAAGTCATCCAGGGGGACATGATAATCAAGGCAGGCATGAACTACGGGGCTTGCGTCCTGAATAGAAGTCGACATGAAGACTTTTAGAGGTTAAAAAAGATCAGTTTTCATGCAATCGACAGCAAGTTGGAGACTCAAGAAAATCGGGTCCTTGAACTGGAGTGACATTACTGCATTTAGAAGAGAAAGTGGTTTCAGCAAGCCGTCAGTACTACAGCTAGCAAACAGTGCAGACTTGAACATGTGCGAAAGGTGTTGGTACTGGGAATGTGGAGGTGACGAGTCGAAGCAGACGAACCCAACACAAAAAGTGCACGCACGCAGTCTTCGAGTGAGTCGTGACATTAAGTGCGTACACGAACATTGACGAGCCAATGGGCTTTCTCTGCGCCAGCAAACACTGGTGTTTTAGTCGTACGTTACCGAAGACTAAATCATAATACAGAAAACCTCTGATGCCTTGAAAGCATCTTGAAGACCCGAAAAAGAAGATCTATGGAGGAAAGGTTCTTGGCAATTTTGGACTAAATGGCTCGAGGTGCATTGGGGATAATCATCGACTAACTAACAAACTAACAAACTAACAAACTAACCGACAAACTAACTAACTAATTAACTAACTTACCAACTTACTAACTAACTAGCTCACCAAACTAAACTAAACTAAATTAAACTAAACTAACTAAGTAACTAACTAACTAACTAAATAACTAACTAACTAACTAACTAAAAAACTAACTAACTAACTAACTAACTGAACTAACTAACTAACTAACTAACTAACTAACTAACTAACTAACTAACTAACTAACTAACCACCTAACTAACTAACTACCTAACTAACTAACTAACTAACTAACTAACTAACTAACTAACTAACTAACTAAATAACTAACTAACTAACTAACTAACTAACTAACTAACTTACTTACTTACTTACTAACTAACTAACTAACTAACTAACTAACTAACTAACTAAGTAACCACCTAACTAACTAACTAAACTAAACTAAACTAAACTAAACTAACTGCTAAACTAAACAAAACTAACTAACTAACTAACTAAATAAACAAAACTAAACTAAACTAAACTAAACTAACTAACTAACTAACTAACTAACTAACTAACTAACTAACTAACTAACTAACTAACTAACTAACTAACTAACTAACTAACTAACTAACTAACTAACTAACTAACTAACTAACTAACTAATTAAATAAACAAAACGAAACTAAACTAAATTAAACTAACCTAACTAACTAACTAAAAAACTCGCACACCCACTAACTAACTCACTCACTTAATCATTCAATCACTCATTCACTCACTCACTCACTCACTCAATAACTAACTAACTAACTAACTCACTCACTCACTCACTCACTCACTCACTCACTAAATAACTCACTAACTAACTCACTAGCTAACTAACTAAGTAACTAAGTAACTAACTAACTAAATAACTAACTCACTAACTTACTCACACACTTACTCACTAAATAACTCACTAATTAACTAACTCACTCACTCACTTACTCACACACTTACTCACTAACTAACTCACTAACTAACTAAACTGAACTAAACTATCTACTAAACTAAACTAACTAACTAACTAACTTACTATCTAACCAACTAGCTAGCTAACTAACTAACTAAACTAAGTTAAACTAAACTGAACTAAACTAACTACTAAACTAAACTAACTAACTAACTAAATAAGCAAAACAAAACTAAACTAAACTAAACTAAATTAAACTAAACTAACTAACTAACTAACTAACTAACTAACTAACTATCTAACTAACTAACTAACTAACTCAGTCAATCACCCCCTCACTCACTCACTTACTTACTCACTCACTCAATAACTAACTCACTCACTCACTTACTCACTCACTCACTCACTAACTAACTAACTAACTAACTAACTAACTAACTAACTAACTAACTAACTAACTAACTAACTAACTAACCACCTAACTAACTAACTAACAAACTAAACTAAACTAAACTAACTAACTAAATAACTAATTAACTAACTAACTAACTAACTAACTAACTAACTAACTAACTAACTAACTAACTAACTAACTAACTAACTAACCACCTAACTAACTAACTAACAAACTAAACTAAACTAAACTAACTAACTAACTAAACTAACTAACTAACTAACTAACTAACTAACTAACTAACTAACTAACTAACTAACTAACTAACTAACTAACTAACTAACTAACTAACTAACTAACTAACTAACTAACTAACTAACTAACTATCTAACCAACAAACTAGCTAACTAACTAACTAAAGTAAGCTAAACTAAACTAACTAACTAAACTAAACTAAACTAAACTAACTAACTAACTAACTAACTAACTAACTAACTAACTAACTAACTAACTAACTAACTAACTAACTAACTAACTAACTAACTAACTAACTAACTAACTAACTAACTAACTAACTAACTAACTAACTAATTAACTAACTAACTAACTAACTAACTAACTAACTATCTAACCAACTAACTAGCTAACTAACTGACTAAAGTAGGCTAAACTAAACTAAACTAACTAACTGACTAACTAACTAAACTAAGCTAAACTAAACTAACTAGCTAACTAACTCCATTACTAACTCACTCACTCACTCACTAACTAACTCACTAACTAACTCACTTGCTAGTTAACTAACTAACTAGCTAGCTAACTAACTAACTTAACTAAAACTAAACTAAAACTAACTAACTAACTAACTAACTAACTAACTAACTAACCATATAACTAACTAACTAACCAACTAAACTAAACTAAACTAACTAACTAACTAACGAACTAACTAGCTATCTAACCAACTAACTAGCTAACTAACTAACTAAAGTAAGCTAAACTAAACTAACTAACTAACAAAACTAAACTAAACTAACTAACTAACTAACTAACTAACTAACTAACTAACTAACTAACTAACTAACTAACTAACTAACTAACTAACTAACTAAATAACTAACTATCTAACCAACTAACTAGCTAACTAACTAACTAAAGTAAGCTAAACTAAACTAAACTAAACTAACTGACTAACTAACTAAACTAAGCTAAACTAAACTAACTAGCTAACTAACTCCATTACTCACTCACTCACTAACTCACTTACTCACTCACTCACTCACTCACTCACTAACTAACTAACTAACTAACTAACTAACTAACTAACTAACTAACTAACTAACTAACTAACTAACTAACTAACTGACTAACTAACTAACTAACTAATTAACTAACTTACTTACTAACTAACTAACTAACTAACTAACTAACTAACTAACTAACTCACTCACTCACTCACTCAGTCACTAACTAACTAACTAACTAACTAACTAACTAACTAACTAACTAACTAACTAACTAACTAACTAACTAACTAACTAACTCACTCACTCACTCACTCACTCACTCACTCACTCACTCACTCACTCACTCACTCACTCACTCACTCACTCACTCACTCACTAACTCACTCACTCCCTAACTAACTCACTAACTAACTCACTAGCTAACTAACTCTACCTCAACGATTTCAGATTTGTTGAAAGATGAATTGAAATCAAGCAGTTGGATATATACGCTACTGAAAAACGCCACAGCTAGCTGCACTTGACTGGGTCCAATTGGAAGCTCAGTAACCAGGCTTGTAGCAAAATTGATCTGTCTGCTTGCTCCGACAGGGTTAAGACTGTTCGAGTGGTCAATGAAGGCAAATACATCGCCTATAAATTCATATGTGCAATTTTGTCCTGAAAAAAAAAAAAAGAGAAATGACAAACAACTGTCATTGAATGCGAGATTACTAACACACAAACGTGCACTCACGTGAATACATAGGCAGCCTCAAAGTCATCTTATTTACTGATGCACACTTTTTTTTTCCTTTCTCTGACAAACACACACAATCTGACAAGTGAATATCCAGGCTAGTTTTATTATGGGCAAGAAACAATATCGCCATGCAAATAAGCAAAGAATGGAAGTCGCTGTGGCCTTGGCAGCTAGACGTCTGCCTGCGGATCTGAAGGTCGTGGATTCGCGTCCTGACGTTGACTCCCAGGTCGACCCAGCCATGAGTGGATACCAGGTGCAGTCCTGGGAAGTAAAGGCGGCTTGCATAGTGCTGACCACATCACCCACTAAGTGAAGATTGGTCTATACAAAGATAGGTCTAGCCCTAAATTCGCAAACTGCATAAAGTCGTGAAAAAGTGACTTTTATTTTACCTGAGCAAAAAATGACATTCAAACAGCCACCATCCATCTATGTTTTGGCCAGACTGTATCACCGCTGGGTCAGCAGAAGACAAGTACCCGCCATTGTGTATAGCTAGTTAATGTTGCCTAGTTACCTTGTAGCAGGTATTGGTCATAAGCAGCATAAAATACAAACTTGTCTTAGGAGAGCTGGATGAAGTGTTGATTAACGAACACATTTTTATTGGTTTTGGCTCTGTAAGTAAAGTAGGGTCCCTTTTTTACGCCTTTAGCCGTATAGGGCATATAGGGCTAGTCCTATATTTGTATTGACCAATCGGCACAAGATGGGTAGTGTGGTCAGCTTAACACCACCGTCTTCAATTCCCGGGACTGCACTTGGTACCCAGTCAAGGCTTGGTCAATCTAGCAGTCAGGGTCATTTGAAAAAAAATTCGGCTGAGCCAGGAATCGAACCCATGACTGTTTGATCCGCACGCTAGAGTTTAGTCGCTTATCCACAGTGACTCCATTTGTGGCTACGGGAAGTCTTTTAAACTTGACATTAGGAAATCATAATGCTATCCTCTTGATATCCATGTTTTATATCTAAAGTGAGCGCTGATCAATGTTTTCTATCTATTCAAGTGAGTGCTGTCCCATCTTTTATATCTAAAGTGAGCGCTGATCAATATTTTCTATCTATTCAAGTGAGTGCTGTCCCATCTTTTATATCTAAAGTAAGCGCAGATCAATATTTTCTATCTATTCAAGTGAGTGCTGTCCCATCTTTTATATCTAAAGTAAGTGCTGCTCGATGTTTTCTATCTATTCAAGTGAGTGCTGTCCCATCTTTAATATCTAAAGTGAGCGCTGATCAATATTTTCTATCTATTCAAGTGAGTGCTGTCCCATCTTTTATATCTAAAGTGAGCGCTGATCAATATTTTCTATCTATTCAAGTGAGTGCTGTCCCATCTTTTATATCTAAAGTGAGCGCTGATCAATATTTTCTATCTATTCAAGTGAGTGCTGTCCCATGTTTTATATCTAAAGTGAGCACTGATCAATATTTTCTATCTATTTAAGTGAGTGCTGTCCCATGTTTTATATCTAAAGTGAGCGCTGATCAATATTTTCTATCTATTCAAGTGAGTGCTGTCCCATCTTTTATATATAAAGTAAGTGCTGCTCGATGTTTTCTATCTACTCAAGTGAGTGTTGTCCCATGTTTTCTATCTTTCTTCTTGTTTGTTTTAGTATCCAGAAGCCATGAGTTGTTAACCCTTAGGCTCGGTATTATGGATATCGCAACCTTTCGGCCTTGATTCCATTGTAAATACCGTAAATCTGGGAGAAAATGTGGCTTTCCTGCCTACCCCCGGGATTGAACCCGGACCACAAGGAGTACGTCACCCGGTCTCCGCCCAATCCGGTTTAGCCAACTACGCTAGAGAGCCGGGCATTTTCCTTCTTCAGTAACCAACTAAGAGTTGACAGAGTTCAAGTTGTAACCTGATTAAAACGCTCGATTCCATTTCCCCTTCAGTGTTGACTATCTTCCAGAACCCTTATCCCCCCCCCCCCCACCCGCTCCCACCACGGCCATCCCCGATTGTATTAGTCTCAGTGAATAGATTTCGTATCTCTCATTTATCCACTGTGCAATTAAAACCTTCATCACATCCGCTTCATCAAAAAATAGCTCACCCCCAGAAGAGCGGTATCAGCTAATCTATCAACCGAGCAGTATCAGCTAATTTATCAACCTGCTCGTTACCTTACACATCTGAATCTCGTGGACAGAAAATACATATTATGCCCATGACCCAGATCTTATCAAGTGATGCAAACCACTCTGATTGCAGGATAGAACCCAGCTCTTCTTATCTCTCACGACAGACCTAACTGTACATGCTACCATGTCAACTCTACAAAGGCTAATGTGGCTGGGTCACACCTAATGAACTGAGGATGGCAACGCACCAACGGCTTAAAGTCAAAGTGTCCGTTTCGCAACACTCAGATCAAAATATATAAAACGGTGATAAGACCAGTCGTCTCCTATGGCTCTGAAACTTGGAGCACAACTAAAACAGATGAAGCCTTATTACAGGTTTTGGAAAAAAAAGTCTTACGACGAATCTTTGGACCTATGGAAGATGCAAACAGTGGGGAATGGAAAGTGAGGAGCATCAACGAAATTCATAATCTGTTTTAATCACCATTGATCACTGGCATCTTGCGAGCTAAGTGGCTGAAATGGTTGGGGCATATTGAGAGGACGTCAAATAGCAGAGAAGTAAACACTGTAAACACAAGGGAGATGAGTGGTCGTAGACCACAACGCAGACACAAAAAAAATCGATGGAGAGATAATGTCCAGACAGACCTGCAAACACTTGGTGTCACCAACTAGAAAGCGAAGGAAGGCCAACTAGAGAGATGAATGGAGGCGAGTGATATCTGCTGCAATGAACCGCAACGGCTCAGAATGCTGAAGAAGAAAAAGAAGAAGAGGAAGAAGAAGAATAGGAAGAAGAAGAAGAAGAAGAGGAAGAAGAAGAAAGAAAAAGAAGAAGAAAGAAAAAGAAGAAGGAGAAGAAGAAAAATAAGAAGAAGAAGAAGAAAAGAAGAAGAAGAAGCGTTCCTAAGGGCATCCTCTTTGATGAATTAAAGACGTGTAAAATGTGTCGAGGTGACCTCTACTACGATATACATTTGTGTGTAAGCGGTCAGTTCCAACTAATTGCGCAATATAACACTGGCGTCTGTAAAGAGGGAAAGGTGCTTATCACCCGAGCGTGAATTTTCATTGATTTCATGTCTTGTACCGTTGACTTTGTTTCACAAGCTATCCATCTCTGGCACACTCGGTCCAAGGTACATCGTGTGACCAACCACAGTCGCAATAAAAAAACTGGCCAGGAAAGCAAAATGTTCATTCCTTGCAAGGAAAAAGACGAAAGTGACTTGACATTTATGCAGACATGTTTGCAAGGAATGCTCACATACCTGACTTTTGCAAGGTGTAGTCAAGAAACATACCTGACTTTTGCAAGGTGTAGTCAAGAAACATACCTGACTTTTGCAAGGTGTAGTCAAGAAACATACCTGACTTTTGCAAGGTGTAGTCAAGAAACATACCTGACTTTTGCAAGGTGTAGTCAAGAAACATACCTGACTTTTGCAAGGTGTAGTCAAGAAACATACCTGACTTTTGCAAGGTGTAGTCAAGAAACAAACCTGACTTTTGCAAGGTGTAGTCAAGAAACATAGCTGACTTTTGCAAAGTGTAGTCAAGAAACATACCTGACATTTGCAAGGTGTAGACAAGAAACATACCTGACTTTTGCAAGGTGTAGTCAAGAAACATACCTGACTTTTGCAAGGTGTAGTCAAGAAATATACCTGACTTTTGCAAGGTGTAGTCAAGAAACATAGCTGACTTTTGCAAGGTGTAGACAAGAAACATACCTGACTTTTGCAAGGTGTAGACAAGAAACATACCTGACTTTTGCAAGGTGTAGTCAAGAAACATACCTGACTTTTGCAAGGTGTAGTCAAGAAACATACCTTACTTTTGCAAGGTGTAGTCAAGAAACATACCTGACTTTTGCAAGGTGTAGTCAAGAAACATACCTTACTTTTGCAAGGTGTAGACAAGAAACATACCTGACTTTTGCAGGTGAAAATCATGAATTATGGCTTGCTTCTTCTAGAGTAAAACAGATAAGAAACTGTTTCTACTACCAATATTACTGTTACTGCTACCACTACTACTTATGTAACCTTGATACTACAACTTATGTAACCTTGATACTACAACTTATGTAACCTTGATACTACAACTACTGCTGGTACTAAAACACAAACAACAAGAAAACAACTTTACTTTCTGTAGTTGGTGCTTCAGTTGGTGCTTGAGTTGTTGCTTCAGTTGTTGCTTGAGTTGTTGTTTGAGTTGTTGCTTCAGTTGTTGCTTGAGTTGTTGTTTGAGTTGTTGCTTCAGTTGTTGCTAGAGTAGTTGTTTGAGTTGTTGCTTCAGTTGTTGCTTGAGTAGTTGTTTGAGTTGTTGCTTCAGTTGTTGTTTGAGTTGTTGTTTGAGTTGTTGCTTCAGTTGTTGCTTGAGTTGTTGTTTGAGTTGTTGCTTCTGTTGTTGCTTGAGTAGTGGTATCTAAAAAAAAAAAACATATGAAACAATTCATATAAAGACATTGCACGTTCAAAAATATTTCGCCATTATGTATGTTATGTGAGTGTTTGCCTGTTTTCAAACATAAAGTACAACATCCCATGATGTTGTGAAACATGTACAGTGTGGAAATGCACTTTATTATAACCTCAAGTTATAAATTGCTCAAACATACTTTATTAGAACTTCAAGTTATAAATTGCTCAAACATACTTAATTAGAACCTCAAGTTATAAATTGCTCACGCATACTTTATTAGAACCTCAAATTATAAATTGCTCACGCGTACTTTTTTAGAAACTCAAGTTATAAATTTCTGAAACAAACTTTATTAAAACCTCAAGATATAAATTGCTCA